GGTCCCCAGAGGCGTCCCTTGCCCCGGGGTGCCTTGGTGAGAGCCCGCACCAGCCATGACCTCCTCTTGGTACAGCATCACTGACCCTGAGGCTGCAGCCATCCCTCCCCACAGCCTCCAACCCCGAAGCCTTCGCAACCCCTCGGAGCCCCCTAGATTCCTCTGCACAGAGAGCAGCCCTGGGGAGCCTCGACGCTGCCGCAGCAACCTGCCCCCCGCCTTGGCACGTGCACCCCCTGCATCCCCCACTTTGGGCTGGACCCTGCGCGGCCAACGGCCCCACTGTGCCACTGCGGCCCCACTCCTCACCTTGTCAGGGTCCAGGGCAAAGTCAGCATCCAGCAGCTCCCCCACGTCGTCGTCGGGCTCCCCCTCGTACATTTTGTAGGTGGGGTTCCCGATCTCCACGTTCATGGCACCATTCGTCATCCGCTGGTGCTGGAAGCCCTTGGCTCTGGGGAGGGTGTGAGATGGAGGGTCAGTGCCAGCAACACAGGGCGCAGCGAACGGGGCCTCCACCCCACCAGCCACCCTGCTGGTTTGTCCCGCACAACCAAGGCTTTCAAGCCCTCCAAAAGCAGGGTTTCTGTCCTGGCAGGGTAACACTGCCTGCCGGCCCCCAGCAGCCAGGACTCACCCTTTAATCCTCCATTTGTACCAGACAAAAGCCACCACGGTGAGGAGGATGAGCAGCAGCAGGATGGGGATGACGATGGAGGCCGTTCCTGCGGAAGGAGAGGTGCAGGTACAGTCAGAGCGGGCACGGGGGCCGGTGTCTGCATGCCCGGATCCCTGGGCAGCAGTGGGTCCAGCAGCCTGGGCTGGCCCTGCCCCGCGGGGAAGGACCTGCCCCCTCTCCACCAAAGAGCAGGCATCAGAAGTTGCACGGGGGTACCGGGCAACCCTGGCTCCGCAGGCAAAGATGTGCCCGTGCCCCGTGGGTTTGGCGTCGGGCCCCGCGGTGCCCCCCAGCGGCAGGACTGCCCCATACATACGGCTGCTCTGCTGCTCGCTGACGATGAAGTCCTCGCAGCGCGTCCCTGTCATCCCTGATGGGCACCTGAGAGCGCAGGGAGAGCACGGGGGTTAGCGGGGCAGGATGGCATGCAGGGAGGGAGAGGGAGAGGTGGGGCACAGACCTGGGGGTCAGGGTGGGCACACAGATTGGGGTCTGTCAGTCACGTGCTCCCTCTGCTTGGGGGGGCAAGTAGCCCACCTGTAGCTCCCCCACCGCCCCCCAACCCCCAGCTCTGCTTACAGGCACTCAGGCAGCTGCGTCTTGTCGCTGATGGAGCAGGTACCGCCATGCAGGCAGTAATTGTCACAGGTCAGGCAGCTCGGTGCTATCTTGCCATCCGGGCAGCTGCGGGGCAGAGAGGATCAGGCACACGCGTATCCCTGGCCTGCCCCGTGCCCCCCGCCCAGCCCCCAGGACTCTGCTTGCTGGAGGCTGTTAGCTCATCCCTCTGGCATGGCTCATGGCTGTGCCACACCAACAGCTGCTGGGACATCAGGATGCGCTTGGGGGAGAGACACCTCCATCGCCTCCTCCCGGGGCCCCAGGTTCTCCCAGATTTCTTAGCTGCCCTGAGTTACTGACCCAGCACCTCTCAGCCACGGCCAGTCCCCAGAGATCTGGCCATGGGGACACAGGTTTTTTCTTGGGCCCTTGCACCCACCACCTCCTCCCTCCTCCCTTGAGTTTGATGTCCCTAGCACCTACATGCAGGAGACTTCTCCACTCTGCTTGTTGATGTTGCACTTGCCCTCCTGGCACCGGGAGCATTTGTTGTCCTGGCACTGGGTGCCCTCGAACTGTGGAGGGCAGCGGCACTGCTTGGCACCACTGGCTGTCATCTGGCAAACACCCTCGTTCTCACAGTAGTCAAAGCACTGCCCTGCAGGGAACAGTGGGGTCAGGGTGGGCAAGCCCCATGCTGGCCCCTTGGACCACTGGCCCCTCCAGAGGGCTGCTTGTGGCACCGGTCCCCCATGGAGCACCACACCGCCCCAGCTCCCCAGAGAGCATCCCCCAAAAGAGGAGGGATCTGGGAGTCCAACCGCTCGGGCACTGTCCCCAGAGGTCCCCAAAGAGCATCCCCTAGAACAGGGGTACCCAGCAGTCCGACCTCCCAGGTCTTCACCCCAGCCACCCTCGCCAGGGCAGGCAGCACTCACGGTACTGGCAGCGGTCCCCGATGAAGGTGGGCAGGCAGCGGCAATTGGGCTGGTTGCCCTGGTTGACGGTGCAGCTGCCGTTGTTCAGGCAGTAGTCGGTGCACACTTGCTGGTTGCACCGGGGCCCAGTGAAGCCGGTGGGGCAGCGGCAAGTCGGCATGCCTGAGAACGAGAGCCATTAGCGTGCTCCCTGTCTGTCCGCCCAGGACCAGGTCCGACCCCCAGGCTCGCCCCCAGCAGCCTCACCTGAGGGGGAGGCGGCACATGTGCCCCCATTCTGGCAGTAGTCCCAGCACTGGTCAATCTGGCACTTCTCGCCATTGTAGCGCGGCTGGCAGCGGCACTTGGCCTGCTTGCGGGCGTTGAGGAAGCAGCTGCCGCCATTCAGGCAGACAAGGGCGCAGGTGTCAGTGGTGGGCACTGGGAGAGAGGGATGGAGGTGAGCGGGATCGCACCAGGCAGGAGCCCCCTCCTCATCCTCCTCCTCCAGACCACCTACCGACGGGGGAGATGGTGGGCGAGGGAATGACCACACAGGTGCCATTGTCCAGGCGCTTGCCGTTGGGGCAGGTGCAGACGGGGCCGCTAGGGCTGAGCAGGCAGAGCCACTCGCACTTCTTGCGGTCACAAGGGTTGGTCACTGCCGAGAGGGGAGGGGACAACGCGGGGTGAGGATGGCAGGGTGACCCCCCCGAGCCCTCCTGGCAAACGACTGCTCCCCAACAGCTCTAGGACATCCCCCACGGCCCTAGAGCTGCCCAGGCCCTGTGCCCGTCCCCCAGGCGCCAGTTGACAGCTCGCCATGGCAGGTGTCCTCCCCCAATCCACTCCCCTCCCCACTAATCCCCGCTGCTCTGCACATCCAGATGCCCCCTACTTTGGGCAGGGAAGCTGGGTGGCGGAGTCCCCTCTTGCCCCAAGCTCTGCCAGCGCTCCCCTCACCCTCTGGCACCTCACATCAGAGATCAGGGCCTGGGCACCCTCTTCCCACCCTGAGAGTAGGGTGAGGGTCCCCAGCTTGGCACGCACCCTCCGGTTGCTTGTATTGGTGGTAGAGCACGACGTCAGTGGCATGGTTGAGGCCAGACGTCAGGTTGGTGACAGCCTTGTGCCCGAACTTGTGGATCTTGAAGATGCGGTTGTTGATGTAGGTGACACCGTAGATGTAGTCCTCGAAGATGTCGATGCTGAAAGGATGGCTCAGCCCTGGGGAAGCGAAGAGGGGACAGTGCAGGCAGAGGTGGCACAGCTGGCTGCTCACTCCCTTGGGCAGGGCTGATTAGGGATTCATGGTGGATTTGAGGCTAAGGCCTCCCACCCTGTACGAGTGGGACAGTGTCGGGGGACAGCAGTGCCAGTAGGCTCTGGTCCTGCTGTGGAACATTTAACGAGGGAAACCCACCCTCGCTGCCATCTGCTGAGCAGCCCTGGCTAAGCGTTGGGGTCTGCCCTGCAGCACGACCCAGGCCAGGGGCCCTGCGGAGCTGGGCTGTGCCAGGACCCCACACCAGGGACGTGGTCACCTGGCAGGCCCCTCCCTGCTGCTCTGGCAGGCCTCGGGCACTGCTTACCCTTCTTGTTGTCGATGGCCACAACGGGGTCGGTGCCGTTGAGCCGGATGCTGCCTTTTGGCCCAGTACAGCCGCTCGTTGTGGTAGTCCGCAGCCAGGCCTAAAGGGGTACACACCTCCCGGTGAGGTACAGGCCCCCAGCCCATCCCGAGCCCCTCCTGATCACGTGATCAGCAGAGCAGCCCCCCTGCTGCCTCTACACACTCCTGCCACAGGGCTCAGAGTTCCCCAGCTGACCCTGCCCGACACAAGGGGGTTGTATGTCCCTCCTGTCAAGGCTTTCACCACCCTTCGTGCCCCTCCTGGCACCCATCTTGGTTCACCTGTTGGCCACTGGATGTTGTCCTGCACCAGGGTCTCGCGCAGTGTCCCGTCCATAGCGGCTGTCTCAATCTTGGGGTGATTGCCCCAGTCTGACCAGTACATAGTCCTGCGAGGGACACAGGCAAGTCATTCCCAGCAGGGAAGCAAGAAGAGGAAGAGCATGACAGTCCAACACCCCACTGAGCTCCCACGTTCTTGAGTCACTGACGTGACCCCAACGGGCCAGCTGACTCCTCAGCACAGCAACTTGAGCTGACGCGGAGAGTGATACTGGGGCACAAGGAGCTTCCAGCATGGATGGGCTGGGGGCAGAGGGAAGGGAGGAAGGGCTCGAGTCTCTCACCCCCTAAGCGGGTCGACCACAATGGCATGGGGCTCATCAATCATGCCCGAGATCAGCGTCTTGCGATTCTCGCCTTTCATCTGTGCCACCTCAATGACATCCCGCCCTGAGTCTGTCCAGTAGATGTTCCCAGCCACCCAGTCGATGGCAATTCCCCGTGGCATCTTCAGCCCCGAGATCTGTGAAGGGCAGAAAGTGGGGAGAGGTGAGGGCAGACGATGCCGGCAGCCCGGCCTCAGTGCCTCCCGCCATGCCCCCGACAGAGCTCACATTCAGGTGCGAGCGGGCGCCGGTTGCGGTTGGAGGCGGTGGAGGCAGTGGAAGAGGCAGGCAGCTCCCGGTATGAGATCCTGCCTGTGTGCCAGTTGGTCCAGTAGATCTTGTTGCCCTTGACATAGATGTCCATGGCGTCGATGCGCACGTTCTCGTCGCCCTGGAAGGCCGGCTCGTAGGCAGAGTTGGGGTTGAAGGGGTACATGCTCCGGATCTTGTTGTCATCCGCAATGTAGAGGATTTGGTGCTCGGAGCCTGCAGAGGAGGAGCTGTTGGTGCGGGCTGGGCTGGGAGTAGGGGGTCAGCCCAGCTCCACGGGACTGCTGGGAGCTTGGCACCCCCTCCTTGGGGCTTGCTCTGCCGGGGAAGGACAGACTGACTGCACCAGCAGAGCGCAGCACCTGCCCTCGGCTGTGGCAGAACGAAAGGTGGGCAGAGGTGCAGGGGGAGGAAGAGGAGCAGGGAGGTAAGAGCAGCTGGATCCTGCAGGGTAGCACAGGCATGCACCGGACGGGTGCCGGCCCCCGTTCCCTCCTGACCTTCTGCCTTGCACATGTTGTCTGTCTTCATGAAGTTCTTGGCGCAGCTGCAGACGTGGGAGCCCTTGGTGTTGTTGCAGAGCTGGGAGCAGGTCCCAAAGTGCAGGCACTCGTTGACGTCTAGGCAGCGGGAGGCAGGAGTCAGAGGGGAGACCAGGAGGGTGCCCTCATGCACACAGCCTGGGCCAGCACCTCTCTGGGGACTGGTCTGCACTACCCAGGGCTCGGAGACCCCGTCTCTCCCCATCCCCCATGTCTGTGCCCCAAGGACACCATTTCTGATGCTCCACAGGCATGAAGACACATCATACTGGCAAACACCAACCGTAAACCTGATGGCCCAACCCCAAGCCCTCTCTCCGGCAGCAATGGGAAGTACCTTGGCAGGAATTCTTCTCTGGCACCTTCTGGAAGCCTCTGCGGCACGTGCAGTATGTGGTGGACTGCGACTGAATGCACTGGGCCTCATCTCCACACATGGTGGTGTTGGTCATGCAGTCGTACGACTTGTGCTCTGGGGCAGAACGTGCCGTCAGCACCCGCGCCTTCGCGGTTTCCCCAGTGCCCACCCTCGGCACCCCCCGACACCCCAGCTCCCCACCCACCATGGGAGCAGGACTCCTCATCGGAGCCATCTCCACAGTCGTCAAAGAAGTTGCAGCGGAGGTTGGTGCTGATGCACTTCTTGTTCTCGCACAAGAACTCGTTCTTGTCCTGGCTGCAGCTTTTGGGCTTGGTCGTGGGTGACTCTGCGGGAGCACAGACAGTGGCTGTGATGCCCCGTGACCCCAGGCACCCAGTCCCATGGGAGCCTCAGGGTGCGAACAGCACGGGAAGGGGCCCAGGATGCCTGGACCCGCCTCCCAGTTTTGGGAGGGAGGGGGCGAAGCAAACCCCAACACCTGAGCTAAACCCAGGGCTCTGCAAGGACCAGCCTGAGGACAGCGGTGACCCACTGCCCCATCCACGCCGGGCGCAGAGCAGTGCCCATGGGCAGCCCCACTCACCGCAGTCCTTCTCATCCGTGTTGTCTCCACAGTTGTCAATGCCGTCACACTGTCGACCGATCCACAGACATACCCGGTCGTTCTTGCAGCGGAACGGTCTGTTGGGGGGACACTGGAATTTCACTGCACCAGCAAACAGAAACAAACGGTGACGGTGAAAGGAGACGCCATAGCCAGGCTGCCACACTTGTCACAAGCCGCTGCTCAGCCTCTGCCCGCTCTCCGGGGAGGCCTGTCCCACGAGGGTGAGCAGGCTCCGGAGACTAAAGCAAAGAGACTGAAGCAGAGACAATCGCCCGGTTGCTGGCCCAGCTACAGGAGGGTCAGCCCTCTCCTCACGCAGCCCCCCGGCCTCTCAGCCTGCGCTCCCCTCTACCAGCCCCACGCCCGGCTCAGCACCTCTGCAACTCCGCTCTCTCGACTGGAACCACTTCCTGCCCCCTTGGCCCCACTGGCTGTCCCCGAGGGAACCCATCTAGAGGGGGCATGCGGAGCTGCCAGAGGTACCCCAGTCCCCCAGGTACCCGCAGCAGTGCCCAGGCTCTGGGACTGTCACCTTTCCCTGGTGTGCAGGTGCTCGGGGCAGGCCACAGCCCCTGCAGGCAGACGTGTGCCAGGCAGGGGCCTTGCCAGGAGCAGGGAGAGGCAACGTGGTGTCACTCACAGCACTCCTCGGGGTTTTCATCAGAGTTATCCCCGCAGTCATCCTCCCCATCGCACTTCCAGGCCAGGGGCTTGCACAGCGTGTTGTTGCACTGGAACTCGTCCAGGGGACACGTGCGAACTGTGACAGCACAGGGCAGGAGAAGACATGTCAGCCAGTGCTGCCTGGCTGCCAAAACGTCGGTCTGGAGCCAAAACTAATTTCCAGCATAGCTGGGGGCTCTCCAGGGCTCGGATCTGTGTCCGTGCATGCCCTGGCACCGGGTACAGCGGTGCTGACACACACACAGGGGAGCGCTCCCACCCACAGCGGGGACACAGGAGACACAAGGACACGGGGGGGGGCGGGGAAGATGACCAGCCCCGAGGGAGCCACGTAGCACTGCCGTTACCCCCAGTGCCGCAGTTCTCCTCGTCGGTGCCATCCATGCAATCCGCATCAGCATCGCAGCGCCAGCGCATGGGGATGCAGTGCCCGTTCTTGCACTGGAACTGGTCGAACTCGCAGCGCGGTGTGCAGTCTTTCTGCAGGGGAAGGGCAAGGGACAGCGGTCAGCAGGGACAGCCCCGGCCGTGGCAGCCTCCTGTCCTGTGACTGCTCTCAGTCCCTGCTTGGTGGCCGGGGACCACCGGCAGAGGCAGACTGGGTGGGACGTGACCCTGCTCCCACAAGCAAGGGCACGGGCAGGGTGAAGGTGCTGGCAGGGAGTCCCGTGCCCGTGGTGCCATACCTCGTCAGAGCCATCTGCACAGTCATGGTCCCCATCGCACTTCCACCTGCCGGCGATGCAGCGGCCGTTGGCACACGAGAACTCGCTCTCCGAGCAGGGCCGGGGCGCTGGGGACAGAGAACACAGGGCGTCCCCCTGAGCGCGGGCTGCAGGCAGGGCTGCGAGGGCACAGGGACACCCTGTCCAACAGCTGGGGGGCACAGGCTGACACAGACATATGCCCAGCGGCACTGGGGACAGGGTGGGGTGCAAGCAGAGCCGGGGGAACTGCCAGAGAGGGGCACAACTGATACCACCTCCCAGCCCCCTTCCCATCCCACTCCAGGGCTCCCAGCTCCTTGCGGGGAAACGGGGTTTTTGGGGGTACTACGGCCATAGACTCGCTTCTGGCAGCTTCCCAGCTGCATGTGTCCCCCGAATCATTCTCCACTGAAGGCGGTACTAGCCCCACCGCTCCCAGCTGCCCATGTCTGCTGCCCTACTGGCGGCTGCGGGCAGGAGGACAGGCAGCGGCGCCCGGCCAGGTCTGGCAGAGCCGTGCCCCCTGTCCCCCCCTCGCAGGGCACGGGGGCAGACTCCCCCTCGCAGCTCAGCGCGCCCGCTAGGCAGCGGCACAGTCGGTGTCAAATCTGTCTGCAGGAGGACAGCACGCGACACGTCCTCCCGCCCGGAACGGCTTTGGGACCCTTCCCCTCCCCATTGTCCCGGCCCCCCTGGCTGCAGCGCAGAAGCCAAAAGGGCTGTAGGGGAAGAGGGGGGCAGGGGGTGTCCAGCCGGAGCAGGAAGGGTCAAGGTAGGGACAGATTTTGGAGCCAACTATGAGCCATGCACGGGCCCGGGTAGTGGAGGCAGCAGGGTTGGACCCTCCCTGACTGCGGCTCCGGTGGAGGGAGATGCTGGTGCTGATGCTGAGTAAATCAGCCTGGGTTGTCCAGTCCAGACCCCTCTGCCCTCACCTAGAATTCATTGTCTTCATTTACTTTAGAAAGACTACATGGAATTAAAAGATTTTGGCAGGAACCTACCTCTGAATGCCCCATAACGACAGTGTGAAAATGGAGAAAAACATAAGATGAAGTGAAATGGCACAAACTCAAAACCACGACGTGAAATCAACAGAAAAGAAAAAGAAGTTGCACCCTAGAGAGCTGCAGGGAGACAGAGGGATCCGGGGCAGGTGCTGCATGGTGGGAAGAGGGTCTGGCTCTGCCCAGGCACCTGCAGCTGCAGCAGACCCCGGCGCCATCCCATGGGCAGCTTGGGCCCCCCCAGAGGGAGAGGACAGGGGTCCTGCTTGCAGCAGAGCCCCAAGAACTCTTGTCCATGTGAACGGTCACAGTCCTCTGCTGCTCAGCAGGGCAGGTGCGGGCACAGCTCTGCTAACGAGCAGTAACTCATTAAGGGGCAGCAACTTGATAATTCGCCATGGCTTCTGGGGACCAGCCACCTTCCCGCACGCTGGTCCAGGTCCAGGTTTGTGACCCGGGTCCAGGTGGTTTCACAGCTCCCCTCCCAAAGGCTCAGCGGGTCCCCACCGCATTCCCAGGCCAAACCATTTCAAAGGGTGCTGCTGGCCAGGCTGGGGCCAAAGCACGGGGCGACAGTCTAGAGCAAAGCTGCTTCACTGTGAGTGGGATGAGGCACCCGTGGGTGAGCATGGCTGTGCAGGGCCCACGTGCTGCCTACCGGGAAGGATGTTGGGGTCACCTCCTCCCTTTTACATGTCCCACTTGGGCCTCTCCTCAAAACAGCCAGCAGCCGAGCCCTGGCTGCGGGACCAGGCTAGCCAGACCCCTGGAGCCCAGGAGGAGAAGGCTCCTCTCCGGGCTCGCTGGCCATCAGCCTCCACCAGCCTGATGCTCCCCGCCACAGCTGGCAGCACCGGCAGGCAGAGAGGCTGGGGGGACCTGAACTTCTCCCCTCTCCACTGCACAGCTAGCTCCTGGAATAGCAAAGGCTTGAAGGTGGCACGTACTGCAGCTCTCCTCATCCGAGTTGTCCCCGCAGTCGTTGTCATAGTCGCACTGCCACCGGCCCGGCACACAGCGGTTGTTCTTGCAGCGGAACTGGTAGGGCTCGCAGGTACGTTCATCTGGGAGGGATGAGACAGGGACAGGCATCAGCATCGCCACGCACAAGGGGAGGGATGGGCACACCAGCCAGCAGGGCGGGCAGTGCTGCTCTCTGCCAGCCTCCCTCCCACCCAGCCTTGCCCACGCAGTTTGGAAAAGGAGCAGCTAAAACTTCCCCCAACCCCGGCACACCGAGGAGGCAGAGGGCACAGACAGGGCCAGGGCAGCCTGACCTTTGCGGAAGGGGGGGACATAAAATGCCCTCTGGGCTTGTCGCCACGGTCCCTGCTCACCGCATTCCTCCTTGGGCTCGTCGGACCCGTCCCCGCAGTCGTCCTCCCCGTCACACTTCCAGCGTGCTGGGATGCACCTGCCCGAGTCCTTGCACCGGAACTCGTCCACGCCACACGTCATTTGTGCTAGAGGGGAGAAACACGATGACACAGATATGGGGAGGGGAGGCGGGGTTAGCACTCGCCAGGCACATTTCTTTCTCTGCAGGGCTGATGAACACCTTGTGCCAGCAGCCTGGAGCTGACTGCAGCAGCCCTGCTTGGATCAGGGAGGGCAAGCTGCCCCCTTTTCTCTGGGGGGAAGTCAGAGAGAGGGGTATCTCAGCGGGACAGGTCCAGGCAGAGCCACCACCACCCGCTGCCCAAAAAGCCTGCGGGGACTGAGCAGGGACCCGCCCTCCCGCAGGCAAAGACTCGTGACCGGCTGCAGGGGAGCTCCCGGTTTCGGTGTGGCCAGCCCCAGCCCCGGCTCCCCGCGCAGCCTTCTTACTGCAGTTGGCAGGTTCATCTGAGCCATCCACACAGTCGTTGTCCCGGTCGCACACCCAGACACGGGGGATGCAGCGCTTGGTGATTGCGCACTGGAACTGGTTGGGGGCACAAGTCACCTCCGCTGCAGGAGGGAGAAGCAGAGTCAGGA